CGAAGAAAGCCCTACCTCTCTACAAGGACCTCCTTCATCTGGTACCACTTTCATCTGTCCTTTTCTCACTATGGTTCAGACACAATTTTGCCTTCTGTCCTTTCAATCTGCGAAGTTTCTTCCCAGGTCAGGGCCTTGGCATTTATTGTTCTTCCAGCTGGCAATGCTCTGCCTTTACAAGTTAATGATAATATATCAAATTTATCTAGACCTAATACACGCCAAGCCTTAGTCTAAGAGTGTTCCACATATTAATTCATTCCACTTAGTCTGGGTCCTTCAGGAACAAAGCACAAAGATAGGATTTAAAATGTAAGAAACGTACTGCAGGGAATATGTGTAAGAAAAAATGGGAGAAGAGAGGGTTACTGAGAGAGGCTTCAGATTATGCTGCCATGTTCCCAGATGTGCTGTCATCCAGGCTGTGTTGTTCCATTTCTGGAGCACAGGCAGAGTAGATTTAGCAAATTCTTAAGGGCCCTAGCATTTCCAGAATAGTAAATGAGCATTGGCTTCAACTTAATGCCACGAGTTTCATCAGCCCCTAACAAGACAGTCACCCTGTCCTTTGAAGCAAGTATTGACTTCTCCTCTCTAGCTATGAAAGTCTTAGATGTCATCTTCCTCTAATAGAAGGGTGCTTCATTTACATTGAAAATGTGTTGTTTAGTGTAGCCACCTTTACCAATGAACTTATCTTCTGAATAGCTTGCTGCAACTTCTATATCAGCACTTGCTGCTTCCCCTTTGCACTTTTATGTTACAGAGATGGCACCTTCCCTTAAACCTCATGAACCAATTTGTACTAGCTTTCAACTTTTCTTCAACCCCTTCTTTCCCTCTCACCCTTCATAGAATTAAAGAGAGAACAGAGTCTTTTCTGGATTAGGCTTTGGCTTGAGAGAATGTTGTGGCTGGTTTTATCTTCAATTCAGACCACTCAAACTTTCTTTGAATCAGCGATAAGGCTGATGCACTTTGTTATCATTTGTGTGTTCACTGGAGTAGCACTTTTAATATCCTTGAAGAACTTTGCATTCACATCCTTGGCTAACTGGCACAACAGTCTATAGTTTTCAGCCTACCCAGGCTTTTTACATATCTTCCTCAACAAGCTTAATCATTTCTATAATAGCTTTTGATTTAAAAAGAGAGACTTGTGACTCTTTGTTTCACTTGAACACCTAGAATCCATTGCAGGATTATTAATTGGCCTAATTTCAATATGGTTGTGTCTCAAGGAATAGGGAGGCCCAAGGAGAGGGAAAGAGATGAAAGACTGGCCAGTTGGTAGTGCAGTTAAAACACGCACACCTATGGATTAAATTCACACTCATATGGGCAGGGTTCATAGTGCGCCAAACAATTATAATAGTAACATCAAAGAACACTGATCACAAATCACAATAGCAGATATAATAATCATACTACCCTGGCCAACATGGCGAAACCCGATCTCTACTAAAAATACAAACATTAGTTGGGCACAGTGGTGGGTGCCTGTAATCCTAGCCACTAGGGAGGCTGAGGCAGAAGAGTCACTTGAACCCAGGAGGCAGAGGTTGCAGTGAGCCAAGATCTCACCATTGCACTCCAGTCTGGGTGACAAGAGTGAAACTCCATCTCAAAATAAATTATATATATATATATATATATATATATATATATATATATATTTCTAGAATTACCAAAATGTGACACAGAGACACAAAGTGTGCATGTGCTATTGTAAAAATGGTGGCAATAGACTTGCTCAACACCTTCAACTTGTAAAAAAGCAGTATCTGCAAAGCACAATAAAGAGAGGTGCAATAAAATGAAGTATGCCTATACTTAAGAAGTAAAAAATGTTATGACAGCTGACAATTTTGTCAGACACACTAAGCTAAAACAACTAATTGATTTCTTGTTTTTCATTAAGAATGAGCTCATAGGTGGACTTAACATGAATTTTGAAATGTTTATAAGGTTTATTTCATTTTTATTTTATATTTCAACATGAAGTCCCAATCAAATTCTTTTCCACTGTGGTTAGCAGAATTCTAAGACAGATCCAAGAATCCTGCTCCCTATTACACATACCTGTACAATTCCCTCCCCGTGAGTGTGAGAAGGACTTGTGAATACGATGGGACAGTTCTCCCATGACTACATTTCCTTAAATGGCAGAAGGATTTGGCAGATGAATTAAGGTCCTAATCATTTGGTGCTGAGTTCATCAAAAGGGAAATTATCCTGGGTAGGTCTAATTTAATCAGGTGAGTCCCTAAAAGAGGTTGGAGATATTAGAAGTGTGAAAGAGACCATCTTGCTGGCCTTGAAGGAGCAAAGTGCCATATTGTAAAAAGGGCCATGTAGCAAATAGCAGGCAGTTTCTAGGATCTGAGAATGGCCCCCAGTTGACAGCCGGCAACAAAGCAAGAACTTATAACCTCAACGAACTAAATTTTGCCAATAGACAATGAGCAGAAAAGAGGACCTCAAGCTCCAAAAAGAGGACCTTGCAGCTCTGACATCTCCAAACCTTGGTGAGACTCTGAACAAAGGATCCAGCATAAACATGTCCAGACTCTAGACCCACGGAAACTGAAATAATACATAAGTTGTTTTAAGCCACTATATTTGTGATTATTTGTTACACAGCAATAGAGAACTAATAGCCCTACTACTGACTATGACATTTTAATCCCCAGTTAGAATATATATTCATATTAGGTGATGCTCTTCTGTTACCAGTTACCATGGATTGTAATAAAGACCTTATATAGTTGAGTGATTATTTTATAATTGTCTGTCTCTTGATGAGATTTCAAGCTCTGTAGGGGGCAGAAACTACATCTGTTTTGCTCATCTTTATAGCCTCAGGGACAGCACATAGTAATTACTCAATATATATGTTGCATGAATGTTCTCATTATTTGCTTTCATGTCTCTCATGAGCGCCTGAAAGTTACTGTTATGAGAAAAAAGGGGGGGCAGAGGAAAATTTATTTCATTCTTCCTTCAAATAATATGTAGTATGTCTAAGAAAACCTGGGGAACACAAAGTACAGAGACTCCTCCGGTGACCTGCAATCAGAGAAATGGTTTGGCCCTTGGGAAGGCGTGGGACAGCCTTGGGTCAAGTAGCCGATAAGGACCAGCTGCTAAAGGCAGCTTCAGCTGTGAGCCAAAAGCCAGATGTCATGGACATATCAGCCCTGCCTCAATTCCTTGACGGCCTCTCTAGATCTGCACATCTGTCCTCAGGTCATGAAGTCTCCACCCTGTGTTCCTCAAAAACAATTTGCCCACCTTGAGCACAAAATCAGTTGCCTCAGCCCATTGATCTTGGCAGAGTACAAGCTGTTGCTCAGTAAGCACCCTTTGCTGTCCATTCATTGCTCCAATAAGACCCCACCACTTTCAGAGAAGGACTTCTTCCCACTTCGTATGCTGCAGTCCCAAGACTGGGCTTTTGCCTCAAGTCCCATAAAGCCGTCTTATGCTGTAATTTACTGGAATCCCATCTGTGAACTCTAACCTGGTCACCTGTCCATTGATTCCTGTGTTCACCTCCGGCCTGGATTGACAACATTAGAGTTCCAGCCTGAGCCCCAAGTAAAAACTCTGTCAGTGGCTGCTCACTCACAGCTGAGCTGCCTGTTAGGCTCTGTGCCTTGCCAGCTCTTAGGCAGGCCTGCACAGCTCCCCACTCCTGCCATTGTTCCATGGACAATGAGCCCCCAACTGACCTCTCACTCCTTTCCCCTTCCCATCCAACTCCTTTTGCCAAGAGGAACCAGAAGACTTGCAGACTCCTCTCCTCACCTCATAAGACATCCCCATAAAGAAAGGAATATTCTTACATATGGACCTCCATAAAGAATTCATTCAACATTAGACATGTTTGAAATTTTTTATTTTTCCTAAAATTACTAGAATGATTACTCTCAACCTACTTTGCTTCATTGCTCTATGTTGAACATTACCTCCGAACATTTTATATTGGTGTACTACTTAAATTTAATATAGATAGATTAAGATATTATTCATTTATTGCCTTTAAAACATAATTCCATGCTTTATTAAATAAAGGTTTGGTTTTTGGTTTTTGTTTATTTGTTATTGAGACAGGATCTCACTTTTTTGCCCCAGGTGGATGCAGTGGCTTGAACACAGCTCACTGCAGCCTCGACCTCCTGAGCTCCAGTGATCTTCCCACCTCAGCCTTCCAAGTAGCTGGGACTACAGGCATGTGCCACCATGCCCAGCTAAATTTTTATACTTTTTATAGAGACAGAGTTTTGGGTTTTACCATGTTGCCCAGGCTGGTCTTGAACTCATAAGCTCAAGCAATCCGCCCTCCTTTGCCTCCCAAAGTGCTGGAATTACAGGCATGAACCACTGTGCCCAGCCTATTAAATGTAGTTTTAAACACTTTTTTTCTGAAGACATTTAAGCAACAACAGGAAAACAAGAAAGTTTAAATAAATGTCTTAGCAAGTTTTTTCCAGACATAATGTGATTTTTTTTACATAATAGTCATTTAGACAAATCAGTTTGTGTGCACATCCCATTCATACAGTGTAAAATATGTAGTTTTATGACAATTAGTCACTTTGATACTGTTAATATTTAATGAATTCAATCTAAGGCATCTTTAGTTAATCTAAATATAAAATCATTACCCCTTCTTTAGCTATGATATATAAATCTCCTTATAAAATATTTATCTAAAAGCTATATGTAGGTTTTTTTTTATTTCTATGGCCAATTAACCACCAGTTATCTATTAATTTTCTTTAATAAAACTTCCCACAATTTAAAAACAAATTTTAGTGGCTTTAAGTATAAAAATACCTTATATAGGCATAATTTCAAAATGTTAATATACTTTTTTCTCTTTTCAGTAACTCAGACCTTATCCTTGAATACTAGTAACTGGTTTCATCCATGCCTACAGAATTTTTTGAGGCACACACACAATGATTCTCAACCTTACTACACACTAGACTTACCTGGGGAGATTTTTAAAGACCCAAATCCTAGGCCCACCACCAGAAACCCTGATTCAAGTGTTCTGGGGTGAAACCCAAGCATTAGCATTTCTGAAAATTCCTCAGGTGATTCTAATGTGCAACAGGCTGGAGACTGCTGTCATAGTGTGGTCACAGGCATCAAGTTGAAGATTAGGTGTGAGATAGTTCAGGAAGAGCACAGCAACTGGAAAAAAAACTGCTTAAAGCAAGCCTTAAGAAGGACCATGGACTGGGCTCCAGCTAGTGCTCCAGCTTCTCTCCTGCAGACTTGGACACATCCATGGGGAGAGACTAGGGACATTTTCTAGGACTAGTGTCAGTTGTAGGTATATGAAGCACCAGGCCCCGGCTGCACAATTTGGGGTGCTCATTCAGAGATGGCATTGTAGGTTCTCAAATGGCTTGTCCCACCTGTATGTCTTATGTCCTGCATTTACAAGAGGAGGCAGAATTTGTTATGCAGAACCATTTCCTTAACTTGTTTACACAGAGATATCCTACCTGGATCTCTCTCTCTCTTTGTCTTTCTCTCTGTCTCTCTCTCTCTCTCTCTCACACACACACACACACACGCACACACACATACACTCTCATATCAACCTACTTGGTAGAATTTTTTCAGTTACTTTTCTGACCAGAGAATACATATTAGAAGTTGATATATTTGAATATGAATAAACATGTAAATGGAAATACTCTTAGTGTATCTCAGGCTCTTTTTAGCACCTCCCTCAGTATGGACCCCTTAACTGCTCCCCTTCCAGAAGTCAGGGTTTTCCTACTCTCACTATATCTCTTTTCTCTAAACCTGTTCTTAAGAGGTGACTTGATGAGAGTAATTTACCCACTACCATGTTCTGAGTTTGCTATGTTGCCTCTTAAGACTTCAACTCTGGCTAGGCATGATGGTGCACACCATAATCGCACCTACTCGGGAGGCTGAGGCACGAGAATCACTTGAACCAAGGAAGTGGAGGTTGCAGTGAGCCCAGTTCATGCCACTGCACTCCAGATTGAGCCACAGAGTGAGACTCTGTCTCAAAAAAAAAAAAAGTCTTCCACTCCGATTGTGGAACTAAGGGTTTTGTCCTCCTTTTAAAAGGACTCTATGCAAGCAGAAATTCCTTTTGGTTGGATAGTGCTTCTGACATGATTGCATCAACACCCAATAGAGAGCTGTTGTCTCCTCCACACCAGGCGAGGTCTGCTCGTAAGCTAACTTTGCACTAAACCCATAACATTAAATTGGAAAGATAAAACAAGGGAAAACATTAACCTTTAATCTAATTTGGTTGCCTCCATCTAGACAGTTGAACAAGACTCTATGGATGTTCTAGTTGCTTCATTCCACAGCTACCAGAAACATCTTTCCTAAATTGTCCACTTAAAAGTACTTTACACAATGTAGAAAATGAAACAATGTGAAGAAAGGTCCAGGAGATTATCACATTTCACTTTTAGATATTTTCATCCTACAAATATTAGACCAAAGAAAACCATTTTAATTAGAAAAACACATGGAAAAACTTATAATAAGCTCTATGTAACAAGGTTTGCAGAGAAATTTTCTGCAGGCATGGAGCTTCAGTGTCAATAAATCAAGACAAAGAGAACTTCGGGGATGTTCTGCTACTGATTTCTTACCAAAAGTGGGGGGTGGGAGCATTTAAAGGAGAAATATTACTCATTTTTACTAGAACAACAACTTGGGCCAAATGTAATCATATTTACCTGTTTGTTTTCCTTCAAATATTAGCTTATTTGGTCAAGTACAGCTTTTTCCTAAATGCCATGTCAGCCTTATGTTTCCTTCTTTGCCTAATGAATAATTTCCCCTCTGCACTCCCTCTATGCTTAGGAGTAGCTAGCATTCTGGTACATGGTAGCTGTATATCATTTACACATTCATACATTATCCAGAAGTAAATGCATTTCTCAGTGCTTTGTGAGTCACCAAGGATATCAGGGTTGATATGTGTCTCCATTGTTAACCTCTGACTTACAACTTACAAAACTGCTATCATGAAAGATAATTATTAGTAGTATTATTTTAGAGACAGTGTCTCACTATGTTGCCCAGGCTGGTCTCAAATCCCTGGCCTCAAGGAATCCTCCCACCTCTACCTCCCAAACTGTTGAGACTAACAAGCATAAGCCACCATGCCAGCCAAGAAGATAATATTCTTTAAACTCTTATATGTACTTTGATTAATACAGATTCAAAAGAAACCTGCAGACTGAATTCATCCGCCAATTCAGAAGAAATTCTCATCCAAAACTCTGTATGTTAGAAAATATGTGTGTATGTGTGTGTGTGTATATATATATATATATATAACATTATAATATAGATATATTATAACATGTTATATATTATATATTATATATATAACTTTATAACATATATATATAAAACATTCACACACACACATTTACACTTTTTCTAATTTGTCCCTATCAATTAATATTTATAAGCATATTAATTTGGAAGTCAATCTGAGGCAGGGATACAATTTCTAGATAAGACAACACAGATGGTGGCATGCATCCTTGCAGACTATTTTTATATTGACTCTCTTCAGACAATCTGTTTTATCATCTTTCCAATGGGTCCAGAGTATGAAGAACTCCAAAAAAGAAAATTCCAAGATTCTAAAAACACTTGGCTGTAAACAGACTTAGTGGGCATAGCTTCTCCCTTTGCCAAGTCTCTGGAATGCAAAAAAAAAAAAAATACTAAGAATATAGCCAAACGTTTCCTTCCCCCCGCACCCCGTCCTGTTGAAGAAACTTGTTACTGTATTGCTAGATGCTGATGAAGTCACTACCAAACTGACTCCGATTCTGACAAAGCAGATACATGAGCTTTGGCTATAAGGATACCAGAAATTTGCTGCAAGGTGATAAAAATGTATTAGGCATAAGAGCCGTGCAATCAAGGAGTGAGTTAACAAACAAGATGACACAAAACAAGCAATATCGGAGGATCAGGGTTCAGGAACAATCTGGCTGCATATTGTTATCTGGAAATGATCACAAGTAGATAAGACAGAGAGCCTGTAACAGTGTATGTAGTAAATGAATATGTAATCACTAGGGTAACATCAAGAGGACAGCCAGCTTCATGTCTAACCATTAATGATCGGCAATGAAAGTGGCAGTGTTTGTTCAGTGGGGGAAGCTGTTTCCTATTGAGGAGAACACAGCACATTTAGTCAAAAGCCATTCATCTATGCAGGGATGTTGCCAACCTTGCTTAATTCAAAATTAATGAGTCTGGGGCTGAGCTGTGCTTTTAGTGGTTAAAGATGGCCTGTGTCAACATGTCAAGGCTGTGAATTTTGAACCGAGGTAACACAAAGGCAAAGAAAATGAGTGAAATACAAATAAGAAAGCATTACTAAAAATCTGGGTTATTATCATTAACCAGAAATAATGCCAGCACTCAGAATCACATATTAACAGTTTTAATGTCACCATTTTCTAGACAAGAAGATAGAGCTCTGTTAAATAGCTAAATAATTAAAGAAGTTATTAAGAAGCCATTTCAGCATTTAAATAACTAACTCAATCAGTAGGCAGGCTGAGCTCAGTGTCATCATGATATGCACAGGAAATTGAAATGAATGTTATTGGTTGGGGAAACTGTTCAGACTAAATATTAACTCTTATGGCTCCTTGAATTTTAACAAATATCTGCAAAGGTGCTTATGATAACATAATACTGTACAATGGTGTAAGGAAAAAGTCAATTTTTTACAAAAGGTTTAGAAGGGAGTCTGTCCACATAAACTAGTATCTTATTTTATTTATGTAATTCAACCTAACTATAATCACATTTGGAGGAAATTTTTTTTTTAGGTAGAGAAAATTGCCATACAGAGTCTAAAATTTCTAAAATTACTGGCGAACTTATGGCACTTGAACTGGATGATTAAGTGGCAACTGAGCTAGTTGATCTCAAACATCCCACCCCAGCTTTCATTATTTAAAATCATATTTCAGTGTACTCAAATATTTACCTATCCCACGGAACAAATGCTTTCAAGAATAAAATAAAATAACTTAGCAAACCTTTATGGAACTCTTAGTAAGAGCTGGGTGCTAACTATATTCATTGCTAGGGAAGACAGACCAGTTCACCGCAATGCAATCCAAAAGGATGCTGGGTTTTTATTTTAAAGTGTGTGTGAATGTGTGTGTTGTATAACCTACAATTCTTACTTATTTACATTCTGTAGTAAACTGAATTAAGGTATCAGATAAGAGAATCTATTTATTGACTTAATAAAATGCACTACAATGGCACTTTACACTATTGTTTCTCACAGAATAGAAATGTAATTTGAAAGCATTCCTCATTATGTTCAAATGTGTCCTAACATTTAATAAGATTTTATACTCTAATTTTGAAAATCTATTCAGTTTAGCTCTCAGGTACAAAATTACACCTCTGTGACGTTCCATATCCAGTGATTCAAGAAAGCTCACTAAGATGTTTGTATCGCTGAAAATAAAAAATTATAAATCAATACAGAAGACAAAGAACTGTATCATAAAATATATTTTTGAATAAAATTACAGATATAAAAAATAAATTATCTGTTCCTTCTATAGTAAGGAATGTAAATAGTATGTTTTTAATTTTATTTTAGCCCTTACATTTGTCCACATTTACAAATCAAAATTATGATTTAGCCTGAGTCCTGGGCAAAGACTTACAACAGCTCTTTTGTTAGTGGAACCTGTCGAACTATCTCTATTAATTGAGTCTCCAAGCCCCAGTTTGTTTTTACCTGACTGGGCTTCAAAGTGGTAAAGGCAACAGGAAAATCTGCATACTAAAGCATAATGGAATGACAGCTAAGCTGAGAGCACATTGTTCTCAACTGGAAAGATGCACAATGTGAATTTACCTGTGCAGCAAAGCATTTGTCTACCATCATAGAGTGAAATATCCCACAAAAGTAGATTTCCCAGATTATGCTAAAGGTTGATTTAATCCTTTCTCTATGTTTCAGTCTAGTCCTTAAAAACTGTTACATCATAAAGTAACGTGAAATAATATGATATTCTCAAAGGACAATGCCTTTAATTTATGTATCTAATATTTTTAAAGTATTTTTTAAATTCTGACATCTTCATATGATCAAAAACTGAAATGCCAGATTTGAGTGAAAATCA